TTCAGCTACCCTTGCACCTTCCATGCAGCATCCACATCATCGCCACGTGGAGTGCCAAAAAGTACAGACCATCCCTCTACTGCCATCAAGAAAACTCAAGCCTGTGGAATTTTTGGAGCGGGCGGTGGTTGGCCTTTCCCAAATCATATTTAGATAAGCTGGCTGCATCAGTAGGTAGTCTCCACCCGTGCGAGCGAGCCATGACTCGCAAGTGTAGCCGCCAGAGTAAGCATCCCGTTTTTGTTTTTCAGAATGAGTCCAGACGCAGCACAAGTAGGCCAATATACCACACGGTTAACTGTCGTCCATGTACTTTTCTTGAACAGCAGCATTTGTATCTGCCAGTGATCAAGGAGGGACTAGAAACAAAGAAACGATAGAAACAGATTGATAGGAAAAAAGGATATCTGTAGTAGTCCCAGTTAAGAGGCCCAGCAGCAATTTTGCTGAACTCTCTCATGTTTCCTTCGATTCCTGAAAAGATGTAGCCATTGCATTTGTCGACTAGTTTCATGAGATCAGCCACACTCTCTTTGTCCTGTAAAAAAAAAATCTCTTGCTCCTACATTCAAGAGGCAAACGAGGTTGAGAAACTCACCTGGATGTTCAGTGTTGTAAAGCTGACCAGCGAGTAATCGCCCACAAGCTCACAGAGACCCTCGGTTAGTTTCCTGCGAGTATGTTCTTCAAAGTTCGAAAGCAAGGTCAATAGAAGCGTTACCTGTACTTAGCCATGCGGGGATTTTGATCCAAATGATCCACCAAGTAGCTCAAGTCTTGAAGGTCTGTGTAAAACTCCAAATTGTACGCTGCAGACGTCTCGCACGAATGAGACGCGTCTCAAAATCGATAAATAGCAATAACGAGCGAAGATCTCACCAAGTTTGCCATATTGTTCGATAAGATCGATCTTCGAGAGGACGTTTACATGCGGAAGCTCCAGGTGCATCATTGTGTTTAGTGATAAAAGTGACGCCGAAATAAACTTCCCAGGATCGCTGCACAAGTGAGCGTCAACAAGGTGGACAGCGGCCAACTGCACACAAGCTGCGAATTTCAGCGATATAAGAACTAAAAATCGGAGTATCAATGGAAAATCTAGAAATAAAAGTAGCTCACCCGATAGTCCCACTTGGTTGTCATCTCGTCGATTACTTTCTTGGCGTTGCTGTGTAGTGTGAAGAGCTCGACTTGACCGGGAAAATCAAAGAGAAAGTAGTGATCTAAGCCAAAAGGCAAGCATGAACGAAACCAGCATTTGAGCGAAAGCAGTACCTTTTTCTAAAGGCTTGAGCTTGTTCTTGAGCCAGTCTATATTCATCATCAAGTAATCCATGCAGTAGATTAGACCTGCAAAAACTCCAGAAAATAAGCTAGAAACCAAGTCCAAAGCAAACTCTCACCTCCATTTGGCCCCAAGTTGTATTGATTCATTACATCTTCCAGCCTCACGAGCTCCGCAATGTTTACAGCACACTCATACCTTTGAAAAAACAATTCCATCACTCTTTGCTCACATTCTAGCGCAAACTTACGGTAGCCAGTCATTGGCCGGATCGAGATTGATCACTGCGGTTTTCCTGACACAAAACTTCGCTATAAGAAACCCCCGCATTCGCGATCGCGCGACGCTTACCTCCCAATGAGACCGAGGAATTGCTGGAGACCATTGCAGTAAGTCGTCTTCCCGGATCCGGGCGGGCCTATGACGATTTGCCCAAACACCATCGCATAAACCCTAGAAAAATATTTAGGGCTCTTTGTTGATGTGGACGGCTAGGATAAGCGCAGTATTTAATTACGGAATATTACTAGGCGACGGATTGGACGGTCAGGATTTGTCAGACAATACAACGGCGGGAGAAGGAAAAAAAAACACCGTTGTTCTTCCCAATTTCTCTTTAGATCAGGGTTTGGCGAGGACATAGCGTCACCGATCGGCCATCGCGATCGCGGCCGTGGGAGCTCCATCGCCTTCTCCGGGTGTGCATTCCCGATCTTCCGCAGCTGCAGCGGGGCGATCGCATTCGATCTTGATCAGGGATGACGCTAGGGTCGGGGCTGCCGCTTTGCCTCGCCGGGATCGACATTTCTCAGCAGGTTTCTTTCCCCTCTCTTGGATCTCAACACTGTTGACCATATTTCCAGGCTCGCTGCGTGAGGCAATACAAGAATGCCACTCGAGAGGCTCCACTTTGCGGCGATTCAGCGTCGTCCTCTGGAGAATCGCGGTAAGGTTTGTGCGTTTTGTTGTTCTCTTGAGTCTTGGCTTGATGGAATCTTCTATTTCCATTTTCGTGTCAGTAGAAGAGTAAATGACCCTTACACGTCTTCCAGAAGCGAGGATCGCAGTGATTCCGGCGTGGATATGGTGACAGAGACAAGGAAGGCATTCTTCCGCGTGGGACTAGCCAAAGAGTGAGTTGGGCGATCCTTTGTTGGTGAGAGTGATGGTTTTTTCTTTCTTTCCACAGGATGGAGTTCTTAGATCGCAGGCGAGAGGCGCTCAAGGAGCAACAACGAACACGGCAGGAGGAGCAACTTAGACGACTCAGGGAAGTGATAGAATCTAGAGCAACCCAAAGTTTCGATCCTGTCCAGTCCCATGGAGCTAGAGCTGCGTGATATATGTCTTTTTCCCTGACCCAGCATCCTTTCCACAGTGTGACCACTTTGGGAAGTTATGCTCCACTGTGTTTATTGTCTTCATGGTTTTCCTGTTAAAACATTCGATCGACCTACAGGATAAATTTGTCTCGATCGATCGTGTCAAATTGTCAATTGTCGTGAGGTAACCTCTTGAACTAAATCATCCTGTTCACTTTTTCTGTTGCTCGCAGATTCTCTATAAGCTTTGCTGCGCCCCACTGTGGTGGAATGACAGCCAGGGAACGCACTGAACCAAAGCTTTGGTACGGTTGCAGTGGTATTTATGATGTCCTGGAGAGTGTTCGCTCACGATTTTCAGGTGCTTTCAAAGTTCTTGCGCAGCTCTTACGCAGCTCATCAATTCTTTTCACTCACGCTAACACTCGTCTCTGGTCTTACATCCAGGATGGATTCTTTCAGGATGCATTCGTTGGGAACTCCAGTACTGCTTTCGTTCGCGATCGTGACAGTCGTGTTTCTGTCAGTGGTATCATCCGACCCGGATCCTCTCCAGGACTTCTGCATCGCGGACCTCACCGCCGGCATCAACATCACCGGCTTTCCTTGCAAGAACCCGGCGCTCGTCACCGTGGACGACTTTGTCTACTCCGGCCTGGTGCCGTCGGCCAACATTAGCAGCATCGACCGCGCTGGCGCAATCTTTGGAACAGTCCAGCGCTTCCCGGGCCTCAACACTCTGGGCCTCTCCGTGGCCAGGCTCGACATCGATGTGGGAGGGATCATCGTCCCTCACGTCCACCCCCGCGCCTCGGAGCTCGTCTACGTAGAGAGGGGCAGTGTCTACGCGGCGGTGGTGAGCTCCACCGGCAGGCTGTTCGCTAAAGTGATCCGCAGAGGAGAGGTGATGATCGTCCCCAGGGGTCTCCTCCACTGGCAAATGAGCACCGGGGGATCGCGTGCCAAGCTCATTGTCACGCTCAACTCCCAGTTTCCGGGGATCCAGTTCATCGCGAGGTCCATGTTTGGGCCCCAAGTTCCAGACGAGGTGCTGCAAAAAACGTTTTTTCTCGACAAGGAAACGATCGCTCGTGTTCGTTCCAAATTCTGAATTCTTTCCCTTCCTATAACGTACAAATTTATTATTGTAGTGATTAGTTATGATTTACAGTAATGGAGGTATAGCTCAGCGGTAGAGCAATCGGCTGCAGTCCGATGGGTCGCTAGTTCAATTCTGGCTTCCTCCTCCTCTCTTTAACGCTTTTCTTTTTAATTAAAAAAATTAAAGTTTGTGAGAAACTTGTAAAGCTTATTTCCAAACTTCGATTTCTAAGATTTTGGACTTTTGGATCAAACGACTAGTTCATCAAGTTGAACTGGTCCGCCGTTAAATGTGTAGCGAGCGTAGCCAGCATTTTCTTTGCACTCCTCGGACAAGAAAAACTTTGAGGAGTCTACCCCTGCAATTTGGCGAACGGAAGATCGTAGAACAACGAAGCTTGAGCTTACTTTTGATGACAAAGACTCGAGAGAGGTATTTCTTGTAGATGTACATGTAGCTCGCAGCTTCGTCTGATAAATCCGAGATCACAAGCTTGCAACCCTGCTCCGATGGAGATTCTTTGCTACAAAGCTTGAGGTTATAAACTGGAGAAGAGATTTAAGAGCTATACCTTGCGTGTTCCATTGCGTCCAGGCAAAGTGCGAGGGAGTCGACCATGGCAACTTCCAGAGGCTGTCCATCGCCTCCATCGTCTTCGTAAATCCTGCGTGAGAGAGAGACAAAGTTTTCGAGCGAGAGGAAGGAATTTCGGCGCAAGCTTACCAGTCCTCGAAGAACTCCGAGAAGCTGTCGATGATCACTGCTTGCGGCAATGGATTTGCGAGATGGAACGCGGCAAAGTACTTGTCCAGATCTTCGTCGTCGCTCACGTACCTATATACACAGATGGAATTTTGGATCGATCGATCGATCGATATAGAGCTCTCACTTGAACGAAATCCTCCGCAAGTGCTGGGTGTCCAAGTCCTGCTTGATAGAATCTCACATTCATTCAAAGAGAAGGAAAGCGAGAGAAAGAATGCCATGCCTCTGGTAAAGATGGAGGATCATTCTCCATGCTACTGCGCTTGCAAATGATCACAACGTTGGACAATCCCTGCTCGGAGACGAGATTGATCGCGAAGTGAAAGAGCAGCGTCGTTTTTCCTCTAGAAAAAAAGAGAGAAAATGAAGGCGATCGCAAGAGCGACATCTATCTTACGAGCAGGATGGCCCCGTGAGAAGCACCGAATCTACACCATCGCTGGCATTTTTATCCGGAGCGATCGCGCGACCACGATCCAGAAAGAACTTGTGTAGTAGCGCGCCCATAAACCCTAAAAGGGTGGAAATAAAATGCTAAAATGCTAAGGGTTTACAGATCCATTTTTTTTTCGCGATTGGATTCATGGGCGATCTCAGCGCGGCAGAGGTCGCCAAGCACAAATCCGCGACCGACTGCTGGTTCATCATAAATGGCAAGGTAATTAGCTGCTAATCACCCAAGAAGAAAAGAGTGCTGAGCTTAGCTATGGCGTCCATAGGTGTATGACGTGACGAATTTCCTGGTGGATCATCCCGGAGGCGAGGATGCCTTGCTGGCCGTCGCAGGTAACCGCGGATTTCTCCACAAAATCTCCCAAATTCGATCGATGTTTCATCTCCTTCCTCACAGGCAAAGACGCGAGTCAGGATTTCGAGGAGGTCGGGCACAGCGACAGTGCCAAGGAGCAAATGGAGCAATTCCTGGTGGGATTCGTGGAGGGCTACGCCGGCGACAAGGATTCCATGCCCGCGAAGCGATCCGCGGTGGAGGAGGAGGAGGAAGAGGAGGAGCCCGTGATGCGCCCTCTCGCGATTGATCCGGCGGATCGGCCGAGCGTGTTCCTAAAGTACGTGGTGCCGCTGCTGCTGCTGTGCTTGGCATTCGCGCTCCAGTTCTTCGGCAAGAAGAAGAACCCCGAGGACCCAAGCTCGTGAAGGGGCGAATATTTCCTCGCAAACGAATATACGAATTCATTAGTGTTAACCTGCATGGTTCTGTTAGCAAGAAATAATACGATTATCAGAGTCGATCCTGCGACCTGTTGGAAATTAGCCTACGACGCTAACGCTGCGCCACTTCACATGAGTCAAACCCGGGTCAAAGTTCTCATTGGCGCGAAAAAGTGTACGGACGCATGGCTTGATTATCCCTAAGAAAATTCCAGAGTAGTACCTTCTTGATAAATAGATAGACAGATAGATAGATAGCGAGTATATAGGTATGAGCTTAGGCTAGCCTTTTTTTTTTTCGTTGCTACCACCAAGACACAAAAGCAATCCTTCCCCACGGCATTTTGCTTGCTTGCTCGTTCCAGAGGAACAAAAGCAACGAACACAAATCATTGTTCCCGCCCCCTTGATGCTCGGCAAGGCGGGGGGAAAATTTCCGCCGTCCGTACGTTGTTCTAGGGCACGGAAAAGGAAAAAACGCGGCCATGTCATGCGTTCGAATCGCTCCACCCGCAACGCGCACTTGCCCGCCCCCAGATGCCGCCCGGTATCATATCATATCCCCACATTCATGGGGAGAAAAACCACACACGCAGAGGCGAGAGCCCTAAAATTCTCCATGTGTTTGAAGACGTGTGGCCTGCGCCACGGGCGAGTTGCTGTCCAATCCCCGCGCGCCGCAGATGCCTTCAGCGGGCATTTGCTGCATACAGTGCAATGAATCAGTCCTTTGGTTTGCAGTACCGAAAAAATGCCCGTCCATCGCCAGTCTTTGGTTTGGCTTGGCTTGCTTCTTCTTGCTTTGTGCTGTGTTGGTCATGGTTTTTAATTTTATTTTATTTTTTTTAGCGTGGCTTGTTTGTTCTTTTGCTGTCCCGCGTTGCTATATAGCGTGGCCAGCGCCACGCACTTGTTCTCTCCAACAGAGAGCTCCAAGCGATCTTTTCTAGCGTCGAGAGGATTTTCGCGACATCGATACGAGCGAGCCACTCCTTTTTTGCGAGGATATCTCCCGCGAGAGAGAGGGGAGAGGGAATCGTGGTGGAGTAATCTTTGGATTGTTTCTTTCTTGGAAGGGAGAGGGAGAGATGGAGCTGCGCGTGAGGAAGTATGATCCTTCGGGCGACGCGAGGCGAGTGGAGGAGCTAGAGCGGCTGTGCGACGCCGGGCCGAGCGGCTCCATGTCGCTCTTCGCGGATTCCATGGGCGATCCGCTGGGGAGGGTGCGGCATTTCGCGCTCTACACAATGCTGGTAGGGAATCCCTCCTCCAATTCCAATTCCCTCCTCCTCGCCCGATCGATCGATCGGGCTTCCATTCCCTTTTTCTCGGCCGCCATGGATGGTTTCTTGATGTTCTTGATTTCCAGGTCGCCGAGATTGGCGAGGAGATTGTGGGAGTGATCCGGGCGGGGATCAAAGAGATGGTGTGCGGCAGGAAGCGGCTGAGCGATGGCAGCGGCAAGGAATCGGCCGTTCGCGCTCGCTGCGCCTACATTCTCGGCCTCCGGGTGTCGCCGCTCCACAGGTATCGATCGATCGAGAGAAATTCCCCTCCATCGCTTCCTCTCCCTTGTTCGTGATTGTCCCTTGACAAGACGAGATTCTTCTCTCGCTTCCTTGTTTCTTGGCGATTTTCTCTGACGATGACTGATCGCTGGTTACAGGAGGAAAGGGATCGGCCTGGCGCTGGCGAGGAGGATCGAGCAGTGGTGCCGCGACAAGGGTGCCGCCTACGCCTACATGATGACCGAGAAGAGCAACGTCGCGTCGTCGGGGCTGTTCGTGGGCAAGCTCCAATTCCGCCCGGTGCGCAGCCCCAGCATCCTCGTCCACCCCGTGTTCCAGCACTGGGAATCGATTCCCTCCCACATCCGCCTCACGCGCCTGGCACCCGCCGACGCCGCCGAGATCTACCGCTGCTACAGCGGCGCCACCGATTTCTTCCCCGCCGCGGACATCGATTCCATCGTGGGCAACGCCCGCTGCTGCGCGGGGACCTGGCTCGCCACGCTCAAGGCCGAATCAACGCCGAGCTCGGGCATGGCGGCGCCGCTGGACCGCCGCCACCCCCGCCGCCAAGTCTCCGTGAAGAAGCTGCTCGAGGGGGTGTTTAGCTCGTGGGCGGTGGTGAGCGTGTGGAAGACGAACGAGATCTTCACGCTGGAGGTGAGCGGCGCGCCGTGGCGGATCCGCGCGGCGGCGGCGGCGTCGCGGGCGCTGGATCGCGCGCTGCCGTGGCTGCGAATCTCCTCCTTCCCGGACGTATTCCAGCCGTTTGGGATCCACTTCCTCTTCGGGATCGCGGGCGGCGGCGCGCGATCGGGCGAGCTGGTGGCGGCGCTGTGCAAGAACGCGAGGAATGTGGCGCGGCGGAATGGCTGCGCGGTGGTGGCGGCGGAGATGGGGGCGGCGGACCCTCTGCTCGGATCGGTGCCGCATTGGAAGAGCTTGTCCACCATGGACGATCTGTGGTGTGTCAAGGACTTGGTGGGGATCAAGAACACCGGCGCCACCGTCACTGCCACGCCCGATTCGGGCGAGAATTGGATGGATTTGCCCATGGGCTCCTCTGTTTTCGTGGATCCCAGGGACTTCTAAGGCCTATAGCAAGTGCTGACAAACTCCAGGATCACCATCACTCTCTCACTCACGCGCAATCGATCCACACGAACGCGGTTTTGGCGGAACGACTTTGTCTGATGGATCGATCTCACTGCCTGCGATCGCGGGCACTACAATTCTTTCTCGTTGGCCCGTTCCGCTCGATCGCAAGAGATTCGTGGAAGATCTATAGCTCCAGACCAATCAACGCGAATCCGCTACGTATGATTCAAGCATTTCACTCTGCCAGGAAAGGAAGAACACCAAAAGTGTGACGAGCGAAAAACAAAGCAAAAGCTGTTGGTTTGGTGGTTGTTTTATTCGCATGATTAGTAAAAGTTGACGGTGTGGTGGTACTGTGATGAGGAAATATAGATATTGTAGCCTATAGCATTCATAAAAAGTTGGCATCCCATTGGTGTGTCTCTGAGATATGCAAAGTTTGGCTCCTTCTCTGCAAATTTTTATTCGATTTTCCTGTTATTTGTTTATTTTGGCCCAGCCAGCCTCTGTTGTATAGGTAGATTGACAGACAGAGACTGGGGAGCTCCAAAAAATACACACACAAACACACACAACACTGTTGTGTTTCCTCTCTTTTTGTGTTATGTGTGTGTTTTTGTCCTTGGGGGGCGAATTCTTTGTTTCTTCTTTGGATTTGAGTAGAGGGCAATGGCAGTGGCTCTTTTGTTGCTGTTGCTGGGCTTGTCGGTGTATGGCTCGACTGGACCCGTGCTGCTCGGCATAAGATCGACAGACACTCCACCGCGATTTACAAGACTTTAAAAACCGGGCATTGTGTTTCTTATGCTAAGTTGATGGTGTGTGTCCGCGGCCAAGCCTCTTTGGATCCTGCATTGTCTAAATAGACAATGCTTGGTTGCGCGATGAATCAATCCCACTTGTAGTAGAGCTATTGTATAAAACATAGGGGGACTGTACGGAGGGTGGGGCGTGCACGCCACCAAAGTTTGGCTTCCAAACATTGTTCTTGAAGAAGAGCATATCATGATCGATGACCCGGAAAGATTTTTTTCTTTCTTCTTTTATCTCTTTGTTTGTTCTATGTCTGTTCTTGTCCTTGGAAGAGAACTTTGGCGGGGATGCTGTACTTCCGCGGCAAAGTGATTCCGTACGTGCGAATCTATCTATCCTTTTGCTGGTAGATTCTCTGCATGCCGACGGCCGACCCCACTCGCTATGCCCATGCCCAAGTCGGGCATATCGTAATTGAGACTCGCATGCACGGGGTTATTCCAGTGTAGATTCCCGCCCCAGCTCGCGCTCGCCGGGGAATCTTCTTTCTCTTTCTCCGCTCGTCTCGTCTTGGTCGTCTATGTGTTCCTTGGCTGGCTGGCATTGATTGATTGATTGATTGGAATGGGCAATGCAAATGGATGGATCAAGGAGCGATCATGGTTTTGTTGTGGAAAGGTGGCGTGGGAGCCTCGCCAATCGCCGTAACCACAAAAGCATGGAAAGCACAAAGGGGATGGGAATTGAAAGCAAGCGAGAAAGAAAGCAATCCAAGCAATCCAAGCAATAAGCAAGCATGCACAACGCGAGATGCGCACGTTACACAATGGTATTATAAAGGCCAGAGCACGAGCAAGCTAGCTGGAGGAGGACTGGATCATAGACAAAGAATCAAAACAATAAAAACAGTCGGCTCGGTTCTAGCTTTACTAGCAGCCATTCTCCAATTCTCTCAACATCGCTTTGTGTCATTGATGCAATCGATCCCTCGCAACCGGACAGCGATCGAGTATGAAAATGGCGGTGTTGAGGAAGAACTAATATGAAAAGTTTTACGAAACTTCTCCCGCGCAGATCAGGACAAATTGGAACTCAATAAGATAGAGCGGGTGTAACATGATGTGTCGACCGATGGGGATGGATTGAGTTGGATTGGATCAAACAGCTAAACCGCGCTCAAGGAGAAAAAGAAATGGATCTCAGGCCTGGAAGGAACATGATGTGTCCGTGGATGGTTCCACACAGAGCTTTCCCATAAACACAAAGCTCGCCACCAGTCCATCACCACTTGTTTGTTACCCATATGTGCAGCAGTGACACTAAACCTTTGGCGGCGTTTAATAGCTCTTTCTCTTTCGATCGATCGTTCTCTCTTTCTCTTTCTCTCTCTCTCTCTTTCTCCCTGCAAAAAGAGGAAGTGGAAGCTCTGGATTAAGTACTCCTCCGGATAGTTTTTAATGAGAGGTGGAAGAAAAGTATGAGGGAAATCAGAGAAAGGGAGGAAGGATTGGAGTGGCAGGGTTGTTGCTGTTGATGGTTGAATTGAAGGCGAGCGCGGAAAAAATCGGCTCCGATGGCCCGAGATGGATGGATTTTGATTGATGGAAATTGACTTGCTCGCTCTCTCTCTCTCTCTCGGCGAGACGAAAGAGGGTAAAGTTTTCCGGATGGAAGAGAGATAGCAAACGGTTGAAGCTAGCTTTGACGCGGGTCGCTTTCCCGCAATTTGGCTCTCTCTCAACTCGTGAAAATCTCTCTGGCAATTCCCCCAGCCTGCGCTGCGAGTAAAGAGAGATTTGTAAGCTTTGCCTGATGTTTGCTACCCTACCGCGCACAGAGATTGCGCAATTTCTCTGTGCTTTGTAAAACCATCGCCACAGATGTGGCTTTCAATCTCCACACATTGCCATCACTCGCTCCCACCACACAAAGTCACACGCACGCACACACACACACACACACTTAGTTCGCGTTTGATTTCATTTGGTTTCCTCTCTTTTTGGTAAAAAAAAAAGGAGAATGAGATCAACCCAAGTGTCACCATTGCCACCGGAAACTTTATGCGAGCAGAAGCTCGCAGAGCGACAATAAAAAACAGAGGAAGCACTGCTCCCTTTTTCAGCTGCCTGTAAAATTTTTTTGGCTTGTTCCACTTCCCCTGCATTCGCGGTACTGCAGCTTCAAAATTTTAAATTCAATTTTTTTCAAAAGCCAAAAAGCGTACATAGTAGACGTACCTTCAAATTGGCGACAGCCACGTCACCGTACCGCACGGCTTGGATAATGATTACGACGCGCTGCACGCTATCATTGTGTTTTGGTTGGCGCCGTTACAGTTCTGTACCGCCCAAATGGAGAATTAGAATATTCGCCATCATATCACTTAATTAATTCTGTTTTTAAAGTAGCAAAACGGAATTAATGAGATAACCGAGTTAACCTTTTTTTGTTGTAGTTTAATTGTACCACACTGTAAGTATGGAATTCATTCAACTCAATGAAGGGCAGCCAAAAAGACTGCCCACAATCTTTCAGCCACCTAACGCATCCAAACAAAATAAATGGCCAGAAAAGGGAAGATCTTACTGCCGATCATGCATCAATCATCCGGGGCGAGATTGATGAACTAGAGGCCAGGCGAAAGCGCTGTTATGTTATCAATCCCTCCTTGTCTCGACAATTGCTCAAAGGATGCGCGGGGCTTGGTCCTGACAGAGAAGGATTGTTGCTGTTAGCGAATGACTGACGTTTCCAGTGACCCCCTCACGCTATGTAGCTTGGGACGACCCGAGAGTGGGGGGGATAGGCTTTGGCTTTACCTTGTTGGATGCAAAGCTCCAGCTCCTCTATCGTTTTCGGAATGGACGCTGAAAGAACCTGGGAGGACAGCGACTTAAAGTTAGCTTGGATCCACAAGCGAGAAACATATTATCACCTCGTAACCACTGTCGGTGATAAGAACCTCATCCTCAATACGTATGCCAATGCCACGGTACCTGGATTAGCTCGGCTTGCTCAATCGGCTCATGGGAATACATCAAATTTTGCTGACCTGTCTGGGACATCGGCGTCCTTTGGAAAGTAGAGGCCCGGTTCTATTGCTAAAACCTGACAGGAACGTATCATATAAGCACAAAACGAAAGATCAACAGAATGTGTACGTACGTACCATACCAGGGCGGAGGGATTCTCCCCGTGACACTCCACCAGAATCATGGACATCCATCCCGAGATAGTGTCCTTCAAGCCAAGCAAAACACGTAAGTCACTCGAACAAGAAAACTGCAGTCGCGTACCGATAGCTGTCGGATTAAATTTTCCAACGTCTGGTGGGGAATGTCCTTGTCCTTTGATACCAAGACCGATCAGAGCCTTCGACAACAGCTGCATCTGTAAGGCAGCTGTACCTTCAGAACCGTATCACAACTCGTTTTTGTAACAGCTGCTTACAGAGTGCGAGTGGATTTGTAGTAGATTCGCACCAGGATGGCACAACTTGAAGCACTCATTCATTGTTGATAGAACAATCTCATAAATTTCCCTCTGCAATAAAATAATCTTGCTCAAGGACGAGTTGAAAACGAAGCAAGCACAGACCTGGGCCGGGCTAAAGGACCCGCAAGGTGGCCAAGTCCGTGTGATATCACTGACGTATCCGTGAAGCTCGCAGCCAGCATCCATAAGGACCAAGTCTCCTTCCCGAATCTAAGCAACAAAAAAGAAAAGTCGGCCTCCAAACTTTGGAGCAAGAAATCTCACTCGTTGGTCGTTCCTAGAGTAATGTATTACGCTAGCATTTGCTCCACTTCCTACAACAGGAGGAAACCTGCAAGTATGAAACATAGCAACATATGAAACGGCAGGAAGAAACTAGTAGCGAACGGAAAAAGCAAGCACTTAAAAGATCAAAGAGTTCCAGGTTTACGTTAGCAATATAGTCCTTACGCCATGCGCTGGGCTCCTCTGATTTTTGATTCGTACTCTATGGTAGCAGCCAGCAAATGTTCGTGCGGCCAGTGCTTTGACGTCTTTATAGTTTGTATGAATGCCTGCAAGATTGCAGCCAGTTAGGCAATCCATGTGCATTGACAACAAGCGCACGCGTACCTGTGAACTAATATCCGCTACCCGCTTCATCAAGCTGATCTCTGCGGGCGATTTAACAACTCTGATTTGGCTAGAATGTGGAGACAGGCTCCTCAACTTGTTCTGTTCGAAGGCCTCTTGAATTTTCGAAACCTTCCGGAACGTAGGACTCAGTATGTTCTCGTTACAATATACACCGCTGGCATACTTGACCATCTCACCAAAATACTATAAAGTGAAGAAAGTTAGCAACGAAAAAGCGCGAACAAACATAACGAACCTTTGGAATTTCGGCTATTGTATACGTCTCATTGGCGTGAAAAACAGACAGTGCAGCTTCTTTGTCCGCTAGAGTTCCATCCCACACAGACCGCTGTAATTGTTTTTTTCTGATCATGTTTTTTTCCGGTAAAAAAAAAATATCATAGCCTTACCTCGGGATCTGGATCAGAGACGAGCATACAAAGATCGCCATTGGCTTTGATCACCGCTATTCCACCAGGCTGTTGGCAGCCAGTATAGTAAAGATAATCCGAGTCTGGCCGATAAGGATAAGGAATGATATCACTCATCGTCTTGATCGGCGCAGAGCTTATCGCTACCAAGCTGTTCCTGGGAAGAATCGACATCAAGCTCTTCCGTCTTTGCTGGAACTCGGCGGCCGAAATCCCGGGCATAATCTCCCCTGCCTCAAGAAGCTGACAAACAAGAGATCAAAAACAGAGACGATCGCTCATCCAAAATCTCACCTCCGGATGCGTTTCGGGCGTCGGCTGCCCCGCATTGATCGCCGCAGTGGAGATCGGCCTTGAAATGCGTGTCTTCCACAGCACAAGGACACATTACGCGCGCTGGACGATCGCATTTCTCTCACCTGGAGCGCTCGTCGGATCGGCGCCATCAGGGAGCGCCTCGTCGCCATAGCCGCCAAGCATAAAACCCTAAAGCCCTTGACTCCAACAAAACCTTGGCTTTATTAAATTTGTTTTAGCTCGTGACCGTTATTTTAAAATGGACCCTTTGGAAAGCTTTGGATCAAAAGCTCTTGCACAGCGATTTTAGCTCGAGTAGAGGCAGCGCTGGAGCTTCTGTCCATAGAGCGAGCCAGCGCAAGCTTGGATCATCTTTGTGAGACGATTTGGAGTTACAACCGGAGGAGCATGGCGCGGCGTAACGTACTTTGGATGCTGCGAGTTCTTCCCGAGGAGGACGAACTGATGGAACGTAGAACCGCCAAGATAGAGATCGTTTCTCGACTGAATCGTCGATGATTGATCGAGAGCTTTGGAGGCACCTGGAAACCACGGCGTAACCTCACGCCTACGGCCGGGAATGAATGCGTTGCTCTCGGACAGGATCTGTGCGTTTGCTCTTCCTCCGATGGCGTAGTATCCCCAGTTCGTGTAGAGATTGTTGACAACGTGACAGTATCCCAACCTGTAAGAAAGAATGTAAGCAAGAACGAAAACTCTTGTGGAAGTTCTCGCACGGACTAAGCTAAAGCGATCTAAGAACTTGCAAAGGATTGTGTTACCTGCAGTGAGGCATCCTTTGCATCGAGTCTCTAAACCAGTTCCGGAAGATGGTCACGCGCATGTTTCGATCCTGCAAGTCCGCATCCGAGGCACCGAGCAACATGTTGAAGTTCTTGTTGGAAAGATAGCAGTTTGAGATGGTCACGTCAGTCGATCCCTGGACAACCGAGACGAGGCCGAGCTTCGCGTCCGAGGACGTGATGTGATCCACCCAAACGCCCCTCGAGGATCCAAAGATGTGGATTGTATCCGTCTGTGGCACTCGAGAGATCTCGAAGTTGTGAAGGATAACGTTGCTGACACCGCCGAGAACGAAGCATTTGTTGGTAAAGACGACGTTCACTCCACGTCCATCAACCGTGGTGGAGCTCCGGATCCACACCATGTCGCGGAGGACTATAGTCATGCTCCGAGCAAAGGTGATCCAAACCCCTCCGTTTCTCCCGTTGGCCAGCTGAGCTCCATAACGAAAGGTGCCGCGCTGTGGCCGAGATGGATTGTCGTCGGAGCTTGTGACCGTGTACATGGTACCCCTGGCTCCCCCAGTCACACTCCCAGCATAGCCGATAGCACACTTTGGTAACTTCTTTCCTTTCCCACAGTTCGAGAACTGGCAAGTTGTCCCCTCCACTTTGCACGAGTCCCGGACTCCAACACCTGCGAGCAAATATCACTATTAAAAAATGAAGACAAACGATGCTTTCTTGCCTTCAAACTCCACCGATTCCGTGCTGGGAAATTCACTCGGAGGTGGTGTTAGCCCGCTCACGGTGATTTTCGCTTCGTCTATCTGAGAGAGTGCTTTCTGGACGAGATATAGCAGAGGTCTGGTAGCATCACCCTGCAAAGTCAATAGTTATGAGAACAAAATATTTACCAACTCGAAGCTCGAGATCTTACCGAATTGTCCATTGAGAGAGCGGAAGAACACTGCGCCAAGCTTCTCTTTGCGTTGCCGAGCTTGTCAAGTGTCTCGTTGTATTTCAGCTCCAGCAGGAAAGTCACGCACCATGCAAGCTCGCCGTTGGCCGAGTACAAACTGGCCTTGCATTCCTCCGTCGTCTCGATCACCCGAGCCCGCTGGAGATAGAGCTGTGCTTCTTCGAGACTTGCCAAGGCTTCCTTCTTCATCAACTCATCGTCTTTGTCAGGCGAAGAATCCCCGGCCGACGGAGATGGAGCTCCTCCCGGAGATGGCTGAAGCTTTTCCGACTCTGGCATTGTCATCCCCTCCGGAAGAGAACTATCGGCTTCCTCTACTTGACCACCTTCTGCAAGCCTGTTCTCCAGCGGGGCGAACACATCGCTCGGCAGCGAATCCTCTCCCTCAGGCTGCCCGATCATGTCGTCCAGATTTTTCCCACCACCATCAGCTTGACCCGAGCTCAGCTCCGCCAAAACCAGAGCAAGAGCACAGAAAAGCACCGCTCTGAGAGCCATTCCGCAGAGAAGATCCAACAAAAATTGCAGGAAAGTCCTCCAAGATGAGATATATACCCATAGCCTGCAAAATCTGTTGGTGGTCACCCTTCCATCACACTAGCACCTATTGATGTTCCTATCACACGAACTTGAAGAGACACCACCTGGAATCCGAGTTATTTTCATTTCTTATTCGCACAGAGATCCACCACTGCGAAAGAACCTAGGGAAAACCCTTGGAGATCACGACGGATTCCTGCGATTTTCCCAGACGACAGAAAGTCTCGAGGAGGAAAATTTGGAAACATAACAAAACAGGAATTTGGAAAGCTTGCAAAGTTACCACATCAGTAGTTTTGAGGATGATCGAAGTTTTGCTCTCGCTCCTCCACCGGGATAAGCCTATCCCACTCTTCAAGCCAAGGAAACTCTCGCAGTGGCTTCTCAAAGTATATAAGTTAGTCCAAGAAGACACCACAAACTCTACGATCACTTACATAAGGCCTCTTAGAATATTTAGCTCGGTAGTGTGCAAGAACCCCGAGTATGGCGAAGAAAGACAGTCCAGCGCAACACATTCCAAGAGCTTCCCACTGCAAAACACGATCTAGCTAGAAAATCGAAGAAAAAATGCATACCTTATCTATATCAGTAGGATCCTCGTCAACACGCTCCCCTCCCCACCACAGCTCATACTCTTCGGGAACCTGAGATAAAAACAAAGGATCACAGTAGAAGGGAGACATCACACGATTTCTACCTAGAGATAGCTACATTATCCCAGATCGAGCAAGAAAAACTTACAGGGGCGGAGACTTCTTCTTCCGGCGGCAGCGGCAATCCCCATCCGCCGCTCCTGGTGCGCATTGCGCTCAGCGGCTGCCTGATCGCTGCGTTCCTTCGCATCGCGGAGCTGAAATATTTGGCCGCTGTCGCCAGACCGCTGCTCCCCGCCATAGCTATAATAAAAACCCTCTTCTCTAATAGGTATATTCCGTCAGTTAAACACCTGCAAAGAAATATTAATATACATAAAACTAGTAGGGATAGGAGTAATAGAGAATATAAACGTTCTCAATGTCAGTGTGTGGAGAGCAAAAAACACAGCTAGCATGCCTTGATTCCATGGAATTTTTATCTTGGTAGGAGATATTGAACAAGGAGAACTCTGACTTGAGAAACTTTGCCATGACTTAGATGCCTCCATGTTTTTATTCTTGAAGATTTGGTTTTGTTATAACAAGTAATTTTGTCCATATTAAGTTTCTGAGTTTGTGTTGAAGAATGAAGTGCATAGTGGATGGGTTGAAAAAGGTCAGAGACAATCTAGAGGAGTAAATTGTTTTGAGGGTTATAAAATTAGATTCTAAACCTAATACTATTGTGAGAAAGATTTGTGTAACTGATGGAAATGAAGTTATGGAAGCATATGCATCCTTTTGTATGGCAAATGCCATTAGTTCTTGGGCTATTTGAGAAAATAACCTCATAGAACTTATTAATTATGCATTTTGTGAGATTGACATTAAATAGTAAGCATATGTTTGTTTTTTCATTTTCTTTTTTTACTGTGACTATTTATTCTTTGTGTTATAAGTCTTTGATAATTTTTGACGTTTTTGACATGGAGTGTGGGGTTTGGAAGCATATCCCTTAACGCCATTTCTATAGAGGAGTATAAAGGAGTGAGTGTAGTTTTTATTTGTTTAAGAGTTTAGAAATGTAACAATGTTTGTTTGTTTTTGCAAATGAAAAAACATACATGTGATGGAATTCAAAAGGTTCATGTATGTGTCATTAAAATATTAATTATGTTACATCCAGTTTATTACAGGGAGAAAATTCTAGGAGGCAAGGAATAAAAGTCCCTCATAAGAAAGATAAACAATACTTTATATGTTTGGTCTTTCCATGGAAGAGTGATTCACAAGGAAAGACTTATAGTCATGGCAAATTTTTTTTCTCATTTGATATTGTAGACATCGAGTCTTTAGAAATTTGTGTCATTTATTTTGGTGTAGTTGCAAAATCACTACATTCAGATATTATTCTGGATAAGGTTTACATGTTTTTGGTAGTGGTGGTATACAACATTCGAAAAGTCAATATACTCCTTTTAAATCAAAATGGGAGATATTGGCAAGTAAGAACATGGTGTACAACATTCAATTTAATGATGTAGGATTTCCAAATATTGTCTTGGATAGGAAAACTATTTTGGAAGTACCAAATATGGAACTAGATACTTTTGTGGATGTGGTTGGTGTTGTTACATTATTTGGACTGACAAATGTTACATGCAAGGATTCTGGGGCTCTCATTAAAAGGAGGATGTTATGTTTTGGTGATTAATTAGAAATGAGTATTGATGTTTGTCTTTGGGACTCTAAAGCTGAAAAAGAAGGGTCAACAATACATGAAAAGTTTGAAAGAGGAGAAAAGTAGTTCTTGTGTGTAAAAGGTGGTAAAATATCGGAATACAATGGGAAGTCAATATCTATTATAGGAGCTTCAACAATTTTATTTGATGCTGATTTAGAGATTATAGCTCGAGTACGTGCATGGTATTCAATAACATTAGATTCCACCAGTTTCATCCATGTCACCATATCATCAGGCTCTACTTCGGCTATTTGTACAACACAATATAAAAAATGATGGGACTTAATCTCAAGGTTATGGAGAGTTCAAACACTTACAGAATTACTGTTAATGCATAGATACAGCTTGTACAGAAGTTGTTAATGGTAGGAAATGTGGCAAGAAAGTCTCAAGTCTATGTGAAAATGTTTGGTTTTGCAATTTATGTGATTTAGAGATTCAGAAGGTTGAGCATAAGTTTGCATTGCATGTGTGTCGAGGATAGCTCTTAGTACGTTTGGGCAGTTGCATTTTAGGAGGCTGCTCGAGAAATAGTTGGTTTGCCAGCAAAGGACTTTGCATCTATGCGTGATGAGAATTATGACATTTTTTAAGCACATTTGGATGCTGTGTGTTCAAAGATTTATACTCTCAAGGTTCATTGTAAACTTGAGAGTTACTAAGACTCCAAGAAGATGAAATTTTATATGGCTTGGATTTGTGAGGTAATTTCAATGGAATGATTCAGCAATTGAGTAATTTCTATCTTTTTTTTTATTCTCTTTTATTTTTATATAAACAGGATTGCTATGCAAGAAGAGTTAGATTTTGTAGAAAATTTGTATGTTGATTGTAGTAATAAGTTGTAGTTCCATTCTGAAATAATTTTTTTAGAAGTTAAGTGGGAAAACATCCAACACTGTGATTGCTTGGATGAAGTACAATAGAGATAGGCAATTTTAATCCTCTACCTAAGCATCTTTATTTACTTTTAGCCAGCCAGTATAAGGCAGTGACTTTGAATATTCTTTACCTAGCAGCCATAGCCTTGCTTACCAATGATCTTATAATGATGTTTTCTATGGTAGCAACAATGAGACTAATTAAAGCTTTAAATGCAATACTTAGATGTTTTATCCTCATTCACATATATTAAACATTGCCATCAAACTCTTCGAGTGGATGGAGGTGGCGACATGCTTTTGGACGACAGCTTCAGCACCAGCAGCATCATATAGCTGCTTGACGAGTTCAACAAGAGTGTTGTCCAAGGCAGCAGTGAGCAAGAGGATGAGCAAGGATGACTTTGGCAGCATCATTCTATAGTGTATAATTCTTGCATAATATGCACAAATCTACTACAAAATGTGTTGTTTAGCTCTTTATTATTATTTAATATGAGTAGTTATTTTTGTTTCAAATAGCTTCACTTGAAATTCATAAGCTATGTAATCCAATTGCAATGAAGAATCAATGAACTATGGTAGCATATGGTAGTAATCCATGTTACTCGATGCTATCAATGCAGCACGTAGATGTTCAATGCTACCATAGTTGGTAGTGAGGAGCATCACATTGTCATGATCCACTCCTGTGATCCACATCGAGTGCAGCAGCTGGATGCCATGATCCAGATCGCTGTTGTTTGAGTGGCCGGCAAATATTGTGTTCCATAGCATTATGTCCGGATTGGCGATGTTGGAGAAGAGAGCCTATGCTCATTGGAGCTGAGTAGATGTTGAATATCGCTGTGAGAGACAGCTGATCTGGTTGTGTTGTCATGGACTGGGTCATGGAGTGGAAGTGATCTATAGAGCTCAGATCCCAAGACACCAAAGAAGGAAATTTTTCTGTGGTACCACAGCAAGTAGCTGGTCATTACCTTTGGGTCAAATGGCAAAATGACAAACTTCCAATTCTCTGTTTAGCTCTTCCAAGTCTAGTATGCAAAACAAATGAAAGAAACGGCTTGAGCAACATTTACCAACCAAAGAATTTGACGATGATCTAAGCAAATGCCAAAACAAAAGAAAGAAATGGCTTCAACAACATTTACCAACCAAAGAATTTAACATGATGATCTGAGCAAATGCGAGGAAGTATCACTTCTTTCTTGCCTCAGCTGGCACCTCCTTGCTTTATAGAAAATCTACTAAAAAACCTCACAAATGGTTACTATCTTACATTGTAGTGAATAGCTGTCCACCAGTTTGCATCCATTCTAATCTTCATGTTGTTCTATGCCATATACTGGAGTTTGATCTTGCAAAGAGGGTTGCAGATGGGAAGATCACAGCCAAAGCAAAGATATATTAGAAATTGAGCAAAAAAGAAACAGTAAAGTTGGTTTTTTATCCAATTGAGACGACCACCCTCTGCTTTAGTGTAAATGTCAACCATGTATTGTTGAGATAATTTTCCACCCATTAAAACTGAATTAAATTCAATAATCTTAAAACTATCTACCTTCATTTCCATTTGGAAAAAGCAGTGGGTATATGTAAGGAACCAACTCCCCGAGGTGTCGTATGCTAAAGGATCCCTGAAAGCATGACTGAAATGACAAAGAGTTCATCGGATGGGACCGAGTCTGAGATCAAGTCCAAAACTGACTCTGAGACTAAGTTCGAGATAGAGTCCAAAATCGAGTGTGCATCTCCTTGGGGGGGGGGGGGGGGGGCTGTAGAGGGTTCCAAAAGTATAGTAGGGATAGTGAGGTCCAGGAACCAGTCTTGAAGGAACTCTCCAATGGTGTTTCCAAACTGACTTGAGGTTGAGATTGGGGCCGAGGGGCTTTGGGTGGGAGTGAGCATGGACTCGGGTGGTGCCAGAGGGGCCACCCAAGGAAGTTCTTAAGAGCAACTCCCACTCCCGAAAGGGAGACCGACTACGGTGCTCCCGACTTATGTAGAGTGGTGCCCCATTTGAGTACCTTGTGGCTTATTAATCCTCTCCCTTCCTAAGGGCTTGGGCCTTCCCTTCGGGATGGAAGTGGGGGGTAGAGGTACCCATACCGGGCTGTTAGGCCATGGTGTTCCGCCCCGGTGTCCCGAAGCAAGTGTTTCATCCAAGGCTTGGGATTTAGAGGGTCCCATGATCAAGTTTTGTTATACCAAGGGATGTTAAGAACCTAGAGGCTTAGTGTGCTTAACTGCTTATGCCTGCGGGGAGTGTAGCCGAACCTTAAGTCTAGTCTAACTTGGGAAGGGGGATTGGGAGAGATTTGGGAATCCGTGGATGGATGGCTAACACTTTGTTGCTCGTGCAATGAGTAGCTGAAACCAAGTAGGACCAAGTAGGAGCTAGTACAATAGACGGGAACCTTGGCGAGGGAACTTAGCAAAAGCCAAGGCAGTGTTGGTCGGATAGATGAGGTAAGTTGGCAAATTGGAAAGGAAAAATTTGTGGCTTACAATTTGGTATCGGAGCCTTTTCCTTAGTTCTAGCAAAGGATAGAGGCGGATTGCTGGGAGATGGCAAAGGCAAGGCAGAAATGAACCAAGGCGGAGACAAAACCTCCTCTAGAACTGGAGCCTTTGGTTGAACAAGAGGCTATGGATGAGGAATCCTTGCATGATGAGGACTTTAGTGAGGAAACTTCCAAACAGGAGTCCGA